CATTCAATTAATGGTCGTTAGTTATCATCCAAGCAGATAATCAAATATACGATACTTGCCTACGATCGTTCATCGACAGTAGGCAACTATTGCACAAATCAAATAAAAAGGATGTTTTAGTAGAATCATGATCGAACACAATTCCTTTATTCAGTGCTCTCATGTCTGTTCGTTTTCCTTCTATACTTCTTCTTAGTGGTCCTCTTACTGGGTCTCATTGTAACATAACTGAATGTTTAGTGAATATCTACCTGTCAGTACCTTCCTTAAGCTCACGGAGCATAAATTCGACGTAACGGGAAGTGGAAGCCTAGAATTGGTTTTCAGATTTCACACAAACTAAAACTTACTGCAATTGTGCAGTTCATTATCCTCATCTTCTGCACCCGGGCAATCCTCGTGCATATCACATAGCTGATCGTAGTCGATACATTTCCGATAGCCGAAACGATGGCATAGATATTTGCGGGTACGATTCGACTGGCATACGTTCTCATACCAGATTTCCTCTGAAACTTCTTAGATTCATATCCTCATCATTATTGTTGTTCTCATATATAATAGTGGAGAAGCGTTTTCATAGATTGTCTCATATCATCCAAGCAGATAATGCACTGAATTTACTCCATTTATCCATCGCTTCAAGACGAGGGCAGTTCGATTTAGTGATTTATCGAAACAGTAATGATCATTCCCATCAAACATTTTCAAAAATCTCCTTGCTTTTATTCTTAGAAGTTATTTGGATCATGTCATTTTGTGAACAAACAAACAAGCAAACAAATATCACGTCATCTCATTCAACATCCATAAATCTATCCGTCCATCTATCAATCTGAATATGCAAAACGGTGGTTCAGTTGTCCTTTTCATAATCAAAGAAGGCACTAATAGCATCATTACTATCATCTCATCACTCAAACGAATTCCACCAAAGCAAAAGTGCATGACCACTTCTTCATTCCCATTCTTCTTTGATACCACCCTCCATAGTCAGCTGACTGACCAATTCATTAACCAATGTACTGTTTTGTACTGTAAACAAATGTGCAAAAATCAGTTTGAACGCATCACGTCATCTTCAAATAATTTGAAATTTTCATCTATCCATCCTTCGGCTTAATGTTATATCTGCTATGTTTTAGATCATACTAGGTCAGTTGAGATCATTTGAGTCAATTCGTCATTTGAACGATGCTTGATGTTTCCCAATTAAGTAATAGTTCGAGTTCATGCAAGCCCAGGCCATTGGTCTTGTCAAAGTGTTGGAGTCAACTCTGAACTCCGCAGCTCAGCTTGATTTCGAACTGATTGATAAATTGACCGAAAAATTATAATAGATTCATTATATCACACCACATTGCATCAATAAATTTAGTGCTTACCGTCACATTTCAGCAACTCAATATTATCAATGTAGCACTCCGTATTCATCGAAGCAATATTCACATTTTTCGCAAGTGGAGAGTGACACTCGATACGGATCCTCGTCGGATGAGCAACGTGACCGATATGTACGCTCACTTCTTTCCATCTAAAATTTAGGATTCGACTGAAGAATGAAATTTTCTTCCTGAACCGTCTCAGCTCAATTTCTGATTGAGAAGATAACAGTGAAGAAAATTTTTTTGAACGGACTGATTAGATTATCTTATAGAAGCACAACAGTTAACTGTTAGTAAAATTCTCATCAGTACCATCAAAATTATAAATGAAGCTATTCTCATGAGAAGCTTGCAGCATATTACACTCGCATGAATATATTATGTGTTGTCTACCGTTGTCAGCGAAATAACCTCTGGCATAGATCAAAATTTTCAAAATGATCAACAAAATCGAACCATTAGGTAAGTCACTCATCGATCAGCAGATCAATTAGTCAACTGTATTAATTATCACTACTGTAGCTGTCGAAACTTTGGATAGATTCTGGT